GAGCTCGTCGAAGGCGTGCTGCTCCTCTTCGCCCCAGTGCCATGGGTCGTTTCCTGTGAGCCGGTCGAGTGGTCGCGAGATCTTAGCGAAGTCTTTAATGAAACGGCGGTAAAAATTGGAGAACCCCCGGAACTTCTGGACATCCTTTTTGTTCCGGGGTACCGGCCACTCATTAATTCCTTTTAGCTTCGCGGGATCCATCGCTACCTCATCGCCACCGAACACATAGCCGACATAGTCGACCTTGGGAACGTCCCATTCGCATTTCTCAGGCTTCAGGAATAGATCGTTATCCTGGAGGCGGCGCAGAACCTCGCGTGTGACCTTCTCATGCTCCTCCTTATTGGTGGAGAAGATGAGTATATCGTCCAGGTACACAAGGATCTTGCCGCCGACGATGAGATCGTGGAAGATCTCATTCATCATTGCCTGGAAAGTGGCGGGGGAGTTGGTGAGGCCGAAGAACATCACTAGGGGTTCGTACAGCCCCCGGTTAGTCACAAAGGCCGCCTTCCATTCGTCACCGGCCTTGATCCGGACGTTGTTGTATCCCCATCGGACATCGAACTTGGTGAAGAGCGTGGCACCGCGGAGCTTATCTACCATCTCGGCGATCAGCGGCAAAGGATAGCGGTTTTTAACAGTGATCGCATTCAACCGGCGGTAGTCCTGTACGGGTCGAAGTGTTCCCTCTTTCTTTTTGATGAAGAAGAAAGGGGACGAGATGGGTGACTTCGACTCCCGTATGTAGCCTTTCGCCAACTGCTCTTTTAGGAACTTGTCCAGTTCCTCTTGTTCGTTGTTCGACAGGGGATACACCTTCGAATGGAACGTCGAGTAGCCGGGTACGAGTTCAATTGCGTGATCGTAAGGCTTCCTTTCAGGCAGCCGTTCTGATGCTTCTTTCGAGAAGACCTTCAGAAACTCGTGGTACTGTTTGGGTACCGACTCCTCGGCGGTTTTGACGACCTTCTTCTTGATTTCTTCCTCAGCGAACAGCTGGGAATACGTGTGCCCTGCTGCGACGAACAGCTTAGGGGCGCCGGGAAGCGTGATACCTTGCTCCCAGGCCTCGATCAAGTCAGCTTCGCTCCACTCTACCTCCACCGGATCATCTTCGGGTTCGAAGTCCGGGAGCACCTTGCTCCGGCAAGCGCCTATGACCGACCGTTTGGACTTCGGCGAACGCCTGCGCGCCGTGGGCCGGACCCCCGTGTCACGCGCAGTCGCTGCTTGCTCCATTCGGTCAGTCCTCCTGGCACTGCACGTTTCAGGGCATCGCGACAATTTGAGGGAGCCCCTCTCCCAATCTATTTCGGGGTTGTGCTCGCGTAGCCAATCCAACCCGACGATCACATCCTCTGGACCGATGTCCGTGACCGTAAACACCGTCTTCTCGACGTGTTCTCCTATTTGCATCTGTAGTACTGCTACTTCCAAGATGCTTCCATCTTTATTGAGGGTGCCGTCGATATTGTATAGCGGAATTGGTTCTTTCAACTTCCGCGTTTGCACCTTGTTTTCGATAACGAATCGCTTGTTGATAAACTTCGTGGTGGCTCCGCTGTCCACCATAGCGATTATGTCCTTGTGCCGTCTTTTTCCTTGGAGTCGAACTGGGATGTGAAAGTGCTGAGACCCCTGGTCCAACTCATACACTATTGCAGTCGATAATACATCATATTTGTTACAAGATATACGCGGCCCGACGCGTGCGGCATGAAGCGCGGACCGGATCAAAAACCCTCCTCCTTCATCGCCCGATAATGCTCGAGCTCCTCGCGCATCGACTTCACCTGTGCCATTAAGTCCGCCAGCTCCGATTGCTCGGATTTCGCTGAAGCGGCACTTATACTTGCCGAGGGTGATGTCGTGACGGGGGCGCTTGTCGCAGCCTGGGTGGAGCCCGAGGCAACCGTAGCCCGCGCGTCGGCGCGTTTTGTGTAAGGCTTGTCCTTACAATTGGGGCACTCGAAGCGTCGGTACCCTTGCTTCCCACAGCCAAAGCATGTGCCGGGGAAGTTGCCTTTTCCGACGGCCGCATTGATGCTGGCCGAAGCTGCGTGCGACGAGGGTGCACCACTACGTGCCCCACCGCGTCCTCGACCTCGGGCCGAGAAGAAGTTATTTAGCTCGGGCCGACGAGCCCGGCTAATGTCGAGGATCTGCTCGACCTCAGTGGCGCGCTTGTCAGCGTCTTGCCACGTGGTGAAAGTCTCGAGCTCGATCTTTCGGTATACGCGGGAGGGGATGCCGCTCAGGTACTTGTCGCGTAGCTCCAGGTCCCCATACCCAGAGCGGTCCGCCGGACCCTTGAACAGCGCGGAGAATTCCGCAGCGGTGCGTTTTTCACGGACTGACTTGTCCGCGCAGAGCTTCGCCAGCTCTACTTGTGCTGCCGCTTCGTCGTCAAGATTTCCGAAGCGGGCCTTGAAGGCGGCGGCAAAGGCCGCTTCGTTTGCGAACGGGGTCGTGGCCCCTTGCACCCCTATCTGCACTGATACGAGCTGGGCGAAGTAGGGGGTGGCCCAGGCGCGGGCATCACCGTCGAGCAGGCTTAGCGCAACCTGGACTTTGAGCTCGATGGTGGTCAACGACGTGTTGACC